GCTTCCATCCTGGTCAGTCCCTGCCCTGCTGCCAGCTTGCTGCCCTTTCCCATCTGAGCTGTCAAACACGGGAGTGACACTAGAAGTACTTGGTCCCCATTTCCCCATTTGTGTGCATTCTGCACCTCCCCACCCCTCCCAGGGCCTGTGGCACCACCATCTGGGGTGCTGGCACTGGAGTTTGGGGGGGGCGGGGAAGTGGTGTAAGAGGGCCCCCTTTGGGCTAGGAGTCATTTTTCTGAGAAGTGCCCATGCTTTAGGGAAGCGGCTTTTCCTCCCCTCCCCCAAGCACACGTTCTATGCATTTTGACCTCAGGTAACCCTCCCTAGGGGAAGGGGGCCAGCCGCCAGCCTTTGCTGCAGGGACCCTTCGGTGCCACTCTGGCCTCCTTCCCCTGTCCACGGTTCTGGCCCCAGCCTGGCTCTGCTCTCCTGCCACCCCCAGCAGCGTCTGGGCCCAGCTCCCAGGGCACCTCTGCCAGCCAGGCAAGGTGCCAGCTGTCTGCTCAGCCGGGTGCCACGGGAAAATCTCCGGCCGCCCAGGTCGGGGAGCTCCGCCGGGAATGCCTGTGTGCCCACTCACCTGTCTTTCCTCTTTCTACAGCATCCGAGGACATGCCCCCGCCAGCCACCTCGCCGGGGCCCATCTAGGGGTGGCAGACTTTTCTGCATCCTGAAGACCCGCTCTGGACCTTCCTGGGAAAGTGTCCCACCACAGAACCGCTTGACCAGAGGACCAACAAACTCCTGGGACATCCTTCGACTCACCTGGCCACCAGGTGGGGCCACCAAGTGGCCGAGATCAGCCTCCTGGCCTTGGGCAGCAGTGCCAGGACAGAAAGGGGGGTTGGGCTGACCCAAGCCCCCTCTGGGCCCGGGCCCCATGCCCCGAGGAGGGGCGGCCTGAAGCCCGCCAGCACCCACGATAGACCGTCTGCCAATCCTTTGACTGTGGCTGCTTGGTATGGCCAGCAACAGCAGCTCCTGCCCGACACCTGGGGGCGGGCACCTCAATGGATACCCAGTGCCTCCCTACGCCTTCTTCTTCCCCCCTATGCTGGGTGGACTCTCGCCGCCGCCGGGCGCCCTGACCACTCTCCAGCACCAGCTTCCAGTAAGCAGCTATAGCACACCATCGCCAGCCAGTAAGTCCGGGCAGGCCGGGCGCTCCGTCAGGGGCTCGGGGGAGGGAAGTGTGGAAGGTGGCAGGGCCCCGGAGCTTAGGTTCCAGGCATGGCTGCTGTGCCATGGTTTGTGGCTCGTGGGTGCCAGCCCCGGGCTTGGAGGTGGCCTGGTGTGGCAGCAGTGTGTGATGTTGGGTGGCAGCGGGGCCCGGGGTGCCCTGGCCCCTTCTTTGTGCTCTGCCATCTCGAGGGCCTTATAAATAGCTCTAAGGACTGGACACAGAGGCCCGAGGCGCGTCAACAAACCTCTTGACATTCGGTGGGAGTGGGAATGGTAAGAGTGGTACCCCCGGAGCCCTGCGCCCCACCACCCCCACCCGGGGCTGAGGGAAAGGACTTGAAGTAGGATTTGAAGGAAGGAGTAGAGTGAGGGAGGCCGGCCAGCGGGGTCCCCCCCCCCCACACCCCTCTTCCAATACCACCGACAGACACTGTTAGGCTAGGACGGGCTTCCCTCTCTGGGGCCAGCCTTCAGGAACAGCAGCCCGCAGGGACTCTGGCTATGAGGCACGCCTGTGTTTTCTCCTTGCCTCTGCCTTCTGCAGTGGGGGTCGCCAGTGACTGGGTGGGGGTCTCCGGACCCTTCCTTGACTGGCCGAGCCAGGTAGTGGGAAGTGGCAGAGGCTTCGGCCAGCTGGCAGAGTCCAGGCCTGGGGCCTGCCAGGAGGCTTACAGTAACTCTGGCCCCCAGGGCCCAGCTGGGCACCAGGCCAGGGCTGGAGGGGAGGAGGGAGCCCGGGCTTGGCCTGGGGCTAGAGAGGGTGGGAGCTGGAGAAGGGTGATGGCCGCTGGACTGGCCTGTCAGCTGCTGACCTGAGGTACTCATCCCACCTTTTCTGGCCAGCAGGGACTGCACGCCCTGCCCTGGACACCCACCACCCCTCCCATGGCTGCTGGCAAGCTGCCTGGTACCACTGCCCTGTAAGCCCGCTAGCCTGGGTCAGTGCCCCCTGCTCAGTGTGGGGGCAGCACTCTCCCTGGAGCCAGGGAGTGTCTTTGTCCCTGGGGCAGGCTCTGGCAGGGCGCCTCACTGCCCGCACTGGCCGGCTGCCCACTGCCACCACTGCTTCCTGGATTGCCTCCTCGGGTTCTGCCGCAGCCCCCCCCCCCCCCCCCCCAGCAGCCTAGGAGCTGGGACTCTGGGTCTATACTCTCTGATGTTGCCTACCTCTCTATGACTTGTGGCCAGGGAGCAGGCAGACACTGCCTCAGTTTCCCACCTCAAACCTGCCTCTCGCGTTTCCTTCTGCCCTGCTCTACATTCCATAGGCGTGTGTGCTGTGGGGTCTGTGCTAGGTGCGGGGGTGGCGGTGGGTAGTCTGGAGCTGAGGGTTCTGGGGAATGGGTGGGTGTGGCTGTGGTTTCTAGTATGGGGCGGATTATTTGCTGCCTCTGAGGGGCCTGGGATTCATAGTCTGGCCTGGAGGATGTCTGCTTCCTGCCAAGGTGGGAATTTGGGGGAGGGAGAAGTCGGGACCTGCCTGCAACTTGGTACCTATGGGCACCTTTCCCTTTGCCCAGGTGATGGGAACAGAGTGCCCAGACACTGCCCACCCCAGCCTTGTCCGCGTCAGACCCAGGGAATGCGCTATTCCTCCCTCAAAGTCTCAAGTTTCTTCCTCTTTCTCAGAGGTGGGTGGGGAGGGTTTCCGCCTCCACCCCGCCCCATTCCACTTCCCACCCTGGTAGCCTTCTCCCTCAGGGTAGGGGTAGGGGTGGGGTGCCCATATTTAGGGTAAGTGTAGCCTTTTCTTGCTCTCCCCACCCAGGTTGGGTAATACCCTCTTCCTGTCCCTCCTCTGAGATACCAGCTGGTTGCTTTCCAGCAACCCCCCCTTCCTAGTAAACAACAACAACTTCTCTCATTGACCCCCCACCCCCACCCCGACCCCAGAGTCTGAGCTTCTCCTTTGCTGGGACCAGAGGCCATGACCCTGGCCAGAGGGAGGCTGGAGGCCACACACTCCCTCTTTCTCCACAGGGTTGCGGGAGCCTGGTCCCTGACTCCACAGCCTGGCAGAGAAAACGCTCATGAGCATTTTTGATGGTCAGCTTCGCCTCCCTGGCTCTCCTCTGGGCTCTGGGGCTGGTGTGGGACCAGGTAGAGATGGGTGGTCCCCTGCCTCAGGTCTCTGGTGCTGCTGTAGCAGAAATCACACAGAAAATGGTTTTCTCACGGTTTTTGAATTCAGGGGAGGCTTTCTCCCCCCTTTGAAGGAAGGTCCTTGTCTTTTTAGCTTCGATTCCTTGTCGGTTTTCATGTGTCTTGATATCTCTCCTTGGCTCACCCTCAGTAATCGCTCTCGTATCTCAGAAGAGATGGACTCTGGATACAGCAGCCTGCCCTCAGACTGCCTCATCAAGGGGACAAGGACAGCCCAGTCCCAACGAGGATTGTGACCACAGGGAGAGAGACCAGGGTTTACAATGCAGATTTGGGGGGACAGAATTCTTTCAGAACATGGCACTCCTTTGTGCGCCCTTCCTTGCCCCAATTCATATCCTTGCCACACTCGAAACACACATCCCCTAGCATCTCATCCCAAAAGTTTAAAGCCACTCTGAGGACAAGCGCTCATCTTTGGAATCAATGCAGAGCAAATAGGGGCGAGATTTCAGGTATGTCCCATCCCAGGCCCAAATCACCCTTCATTTGGAAGTTACCAATTCCAGTGGCGGATCCCGCGGCGCAGGGTGGACATTTCCGTCACAGACAGGAGAAGTTGGAGAGAAATGAGGGGTGACACGCACCCAGCCCCTTGGAGACCAGCAGGACAAACTGGATTCGATTCAAGGCTGGAAAAGAATCCTGTTCTCTGAAGCCTCCTGTCCCAGGACCGCCCTCTGACGCTGGGTGTTGGCCATGCCCTTTGTCATCCGGGCAGGGGGCCCTCTGTGCGTTCAGTTCTGTCCTCTGGGTCCCCAGAGATAGCAACACTGCTTCCTTGGCTGTAGGCAGTCGTAGTCTGAGTTAATCTCAGCGGCAAACCCATCATCCCAGGCCCCTTTTGATGCCCTTGCATGTGGCCCCCTCCCCGCTCCCCTGGCACACGTGACTGGCAGGCTCACCTTCTGGAACCAACCCTTGGAGACCTGAGGCCGGCCCTGGCTTCATGCTCTGAAACCCAGAAGGCTTGGCTTCCCTCGATGCTCCCACACTTCTGCTCCGGGGACGCTGTTCCAGGGATGTTCCTGTTCTTTCCTGGGGGACAACAGACACAGCTCCTTTGGCCTCTTTCCTGCCTGTCGAATTCCAAGGAGGAGACGGTGACCTTTCCATCTTTCTCCGGCCCGTTCAGTGGGTTTTCTGTGGAGGTCCTTGGTTGGGTCCGGGGTCACAGGCTTCATCTCTTTAACAAAGGACCAGGTAGCCAAGTCCTTGGTGAGCCTTCTGGGATACCTGTCCTTCGTGGCTATGGCAGCATACTCCAGATCCGAACGTTCTGCACTTGTCAGTCCATCTCTTCCCTCTCCCATGTAACTCTTAGCAGCAAGGAGAACTCACACAGTCCCTTGGAGACCTGGCTCAGAGTAATGTCTCAGCCAGAGGACCCGGTCCATCACTTACAGGTCCTGCCTTCCACCCAGCATTGGGACTCAGGGCAGCCAAGTTCTTGCCCTGCATTAGAAGCTCCGCCCTTGTCCCATCATCTGATCGGATGGTCACTGTTTTCTTCTCAAGCCTCACCAGGAGCACGTTTAACAGTCACAGTTCTGGCGTGCTATCTGTAGTCTCTCAGACGGGAGAGACTTTCTCTGCAGTTCTCCTCACTTCCTTCAGATCCCTTCCCAGTCTCACCCTTGCTTCAGTCTCACCCAGGCAGTGCAGGCTCTTCCTGTTACTCACCACCTCCTGCTGCTGGGTCCACTCCCTGGAGGACCCCACGGAGCCAACAGGCTCATCTCCCTCGGAGCAGCCGGTGGTTTGGACGGCCTTGGGTTAGTGAGCCATCAGGGCTCCTTCTGCCTCTTCTGTTTGGCACCTGAGGATGCTTCCAGCCCCTACCCATTAGCGTGCTCACATCTCAGGTAGCTGTTAGGGCAACAGGCCACACTTCCAGATTCTCTGGGTTACCTCACGCTGCTGTGGCCAAGACCACAGAGAGACGGATTTGCTCAGTCTCTGAGCACGCAGTCCAAATCCGGAGCCAGGTCTAGGGGAAGGCAGCGGTACCCTCATTCCTCTCTGCCCTTGTTGCTGGAGACCTCACCCCACCCCCCCACCCCGCCCCACCCCCTTTCCCTCGGGGAGGAGGCTGCGTTAGGAGTCCTGGGAGTACTCCTCAGAGACCCACTGGCTTGTGGGATGATGGGAATCTCGGGTCATCGTGGGCAGGACTGGGTGCTGGTTTGCTTCCAAGCAGCCAGATTGGGAAGCCCCCAAGATAGCACAGGACTCCCTCTCCCCACCCCATCCCACCAAACCTAGCCCCTCACTGGCTCTTGGTGTCCGAAGACTGTGTGTCTTGGTGTGTGCGGTGTGAGAGTCTGTGTGTATAGGATGTGTGTGTGTGTGTGGGGGGGGAGTGTCAAGGGTGTGTGTGCTTTGGGAGGGGGTGTGGGGATTATGTGTACTTTAGGGGTGAGGGGTCCATTGCATGGGGAAGGGAGCTAATGGCTTGTTTGTATTAGGTGGAGAGGTGGAGGGTTGAGGGATCAAGTCAAGAGCCAAGGGGAGTGGTCAGCTCCTTTGTGCTCTGGGGCAGGCGGGCGCTGCAGTCCAGGCACAGTGGTAGTGGGGAGGGTTGGGGGGGTGGGGACACGCTGTTTCTCCCTGAGCCTGCATCTGCAAGGGGAACTGGCTTGCTTTGCTGCTCATGGGGGGAGGGGGGGCGAGACGACGACCCAGGGGGGGACGACCCAGGGACAAATGGAGCCTGCCTGCTCTCTGAGCAAGTGCCCTCATCCATCTTACAAGGATCTTACCAGAACCTCCTTCAGAGAGCAAGAATTGGGCAAGG